AAGGTTCCAAGTCTCAGGCTGCAGCCCAAGCCCAAACGTCTGCATCTCAGTTAAACCGCCTCTAACCCTGAGCCCCGAGAGCCCGAGTCAGCTGGCATGGGGCAACTGTGAGTTTTTAATTGATGTGTAGACATACCCTAAGTGTGTCGTAGTTTGCATGCTCCCCCCAATCACTTACTGAGCCTTTAATGACCACTGTAGAAGCACATCTATAGCAAGACACAGATGCCCTGAAAAGGAGTTAATTTTCATCTTGGCTAGCGAATCCTGGTGATGCCTCATAAAGAAAATGGTAACACTCATTCAATAATATTAAACGACTAATGTGAACTTAGTGTGAGATTTTGGTGCAAAGATGTAAATGGATAATAAATATTTATTCTGTTGCTTTTAGAAATGTGCTTGAAAGGTTCACTTCACCATCAAGGCAATGCAAAAATTTTGTCCCAAATTATCTTAGTTACAGTGCAGCAGTCTGGCTGAGAACATAATATGGCCTCTTGTGTTTGCATGCTGCGCCTTTTCATTAAGGTAATTTAAAGTTGAGGGTGCTACAGATGTTCCTTGTCCGACAACACCCTCCCTATACTTGGCAGACCAGTATGCTGAAACCCAGGTCAGCTTCTTATTAACAGCTTGAATTCCTGTAACACGCGATCAAGTTGCTCTTTGTGAACTCTATTTTAGGAAAACAACAAAGAGTCCAGTGACACCTTAAAGACTAACAGATTTATTTGGGCATGTTCAGAAGTCGCATAACTAGGAGTAATGTGAGAAGTACTTTGGGAACTTTTACATTTTAAGTAAAGCAAATAATCAGTCGTTACCTTTCCCACATGAAACTAAAAGCATTTGAAAGTTATATAAGTATGATGCTAGCCAACCTGTGATTGTTCCTTTCAGGTTTAGATTACACAAACTTTAATCACTCCTATTGTAGTGAACTGATTGTACTATATTGCCAATTATGCCCCTCTGCTTCTTATATAAGACAACAGTAGAACTGCTAATATCAAATCCAAGTAGTTTACACTTCAGTGCTACATTTTAGCCTAGCCGTATGCTGTTTTATCCAGTGAGATAATTGACGGTTGAGTCTTCGGTATACTGGATCACCCACTGTATGAATTACAGTTTATGTTGTGTGTAGCTGTTGATATTCCTATGTTTTGTCTCTTGAAATTTAATAGAAACCTTAACACACACAGGGTCTGTTGTGTCATTTTTTACACTGCCTACTTACCAAACTGAAGACTGATTGTTGAGAACTCAAAATAATTTTGAGGTATTTTCAGAGTCTGGAGTTTATAAATCAGATTTCTGCGGGTTTCTTCTTATATTTAAAATCCCATTGTTATTGGAATTTGGGGGTTGGCATATTGAAACTGATATCCTTAGTGTATTTATGAATGGGAATTGTGTTACCAAAGCTTCATGTCGTGTAACTTGAGATACTGCATCTCTCGTTCTCCTCTATAAAAGTGGAGTGACCATTAAAACCATTTAAAAATCATGTTGTCCAATCTATATATCAGCTTCCAGTCATCCAGCTTTCAGCCAGCCTGTTCAGGATTTTTTACAGATTTCTTTTAGTGCCTATAAATGTTCAATTAGAAAAGTAAATTGCAATCTGATGAAGAAAAGATTTTAGGAAAGTTTACTGAAAGGAGAAATATGTAAATTTTAAGAGAACCTGGAAATATAGGACCAAATCTTGAGAGACTGCCCGGCAGTCCTCAGGGGACATAATGGGGAGTGTGGAAGACATGATGTATGGAAGTGGGAGTCAAACACAATAAGAATCCACAAGTCCCAAAACCCGTGTAGGAGGTTATGTCAGGCTGAGTTTGATTCCCGCAAACATACAGAAATAGTCTGAGTCAGCTGGACCTGAGTCAGCTATGTGGGTTTGAAGGCTCCAATCACATGTTGTTTCTAAAGCTTCCTTCCATCATCACCCCTTGTCTTTCAGAGTCTTTTTCTCAAAGCACTGCCCATTTACTCTGCTTTGCTCCATCTGTGACTGAAAAGAAAATTCTTAAAAGCAGAATAAAATCTCACCTATCTAACCAAATGGTAAAAATGATCAGATGGGAAAATGGATTTTATTTATACAGAGTGAGAGAGAGACAGAGAGAAGACATTAGTGTTAATCTATCAGCTGCAAAACACACTGCTTTGCAGAGTAACAGTTGCAGCTCCTGGTTTACCAGTGCTTTCTCTGCCTGCATAGTTGTTTCTTGTTTGTCGTTTTATTTTCAGCTCTTCGGGGAAGTCATATTTCCTCCCTGTATAATACAGCTAAGTATCTTGTTGGTGCTTACAGTAACAATAATACTGACAGTGCTCTTTCAAATATGGTTTTGGAATTTCCCCACTGTTAATAATGGGAGCCCCACACAGATATCCTCCCTTTCACAATCCTCACAAAAATACTTGAGAGGTAATAAAGAAGATGAGCGAATGAAACCAGTTGCAGACAAAACAAACATGAGAAATTGCACGAATATAGTTTGAGAGTGTGGAAAGTCCATACAAAATGGATCCTGCTAAAGATACAGTAATTCTGACAGGTGAACTGCAGAGGAAAGGTAAAAACTGAGTCTGCTTTGAGAACCAGGAAACCATTTCGCTTTAAGCTTGATTTCTTCTTGTGTGCAGTGGGAATTCAAGCCACTGTTGCAAGGCACATGAAATGCTGACCAAAATAACACAGAGTGGGGAGGGCAACTTGTTTTGGGAGTCAGATTCTTCTTTATTTACTCAGGCAAAACTCCTGTAGGAGCCAATGGGGATTTTGTAAGAAAAAGGATTTGCAGATTATTTAAACAGCAGTTTCTCTGTGGTAATTTGTTTTTAAAATAAGGCAGAGAAAAAATATTTTAAAACAAATTTTCAATCTCAAATCTTTCTGGGAATTTTCTCTGTTTTTTCTTACACAAATAGGAGAATCATGTCTCTTCAAATTTGGTGTCTCAAGGCTTGTCTACGGGGGAAATTAGCTGAATAATTATTGCAAAATAAGCTATTTTGGAATAGCTCCCTGGGTGGACACTCTTATTCTGGAATAATAGTGGGGGGTTTTCTGATTTAGCTTAATCCACTTCCAAAGCTTATTCTGCAATAGCTATTCTCATCAGTTTCCTCAAGAAGCCAAGTTCTTAGCTCCAAGACCCCCTGCCCTGCTTTAGTTTACTTTTAAGGCACTCCACCATCATAAAGCTGCTGTACCCCAACTGCCAAAGAATTCGCCCTGCCTAGAGGATCTTCAAGTGGTATAGATCCACCAGGGATTCCTTTGGCTCCTCCATTCCTTGAGGATGCAAACTGACAAGAATGCAAAGATATCTTAAAGCTGCTTTTGAGTACCCATCCACTGAACTGAACTATGACCATCTCAGCACCTGAGGTCTTGTTGCTAACTATTGACAATCGCCCTTTGTTATTGGCCCAACAATAAGACTAATCAGTTTGTTTTTCCAGCTGCTCTAGAAGAGATTTTTAAAATATTTTTTTGCTTAACCAAACAAATAATTACCTTGCCCAAGAGCAGGCAATGTTTGTGCAAGGAGTTTCAGATTCCAGATATGTCTATTTCATTATAGATTCTTCGGTTTTATAAACAGGGTCTGTGCTTCCCTTCCTCAGTGAATCATTATTTACTGAGTGTTTACAGTGCTCTGTATGCTGCATTGAACAAAGAGGAGGTACCTGCCCGGAAGGAGTTTATAATCTAAGGGGCCCCATTAAAGTCTATGCAAAAATCTGGCCTTGTTACAAATAGAAAAGAAAAGATGTCACTTTGGGAAGGTCAAGGATTTGATGCCTTGATCTTATTTCCTATGCATTAGCATACCCCTCAATTTAAGAGAGTTAGCAAATATGGACAATAAAATGAAGGAATTCAAGAAGATATTTGAAGATTTTTAGTGTATCTTATTATATTTGACTTCTCTGTGCAGTATTTACTACATTTATATTTATTGGGCTGGATTTTCAGCCTTCTTTTTTGGTATACCAATAATTGTGTGTGCAATTTAGGTAATTTAGATGTCCAGGTAGCTGATTGGTGGGAGTAGTCAGGCACTTATATTTAAGTGATCTAAGCTGTGCTTACAAATAATTATAGGTGCAAAACAATATACAAAAATAGAGACTCTTTTTAAGAAACTTAGCCCTATTTGTCCTACTTCACCTATCTGTAAGTTCCAAATGGTGGAATAGTTTGCATTTAGTTCACAAGTTTGCTTCACTTGAATATGATGGGAGTTGCAAACAAGCATCAAGTAGAGAAGACTTAGATTTTAAACACTTTAGGGCAGGGACTGCATCTAGCTTTGTATTGGTACAGTGCCTAGTATAGAAGGAGACACAGTCATGATCAAATCCTCATGAATTCACTTTAGTGTAGCTATTAAGTATAAGAATAATAAAACATCTGAAAACATTAACACTAATAAAATGTATAGGGTTTAAAAGCTGAAGAACTTTTACCAGAGCCCTTTTTACTACTATAATAAAGATGGATATTAAAATTGGATAACGTTTCAGATTGTACAGGTCATTTCATACACTTTAGCAAGCACATATTCTTCACAGGTATTAACAGACTATTCATTATAACAATATTGAGCTACTAGAAATTTAAACTATATATTTGTGAATCATATACCCACTGGACTGACAAATATTGATTTTTCTTCTCCTATCTGTATTGTGGTGACGATAAGTCACACTCTTTCTTGTCACTTAGTTTATGGGTTCTATTCCCTCATGGAGATTTTGTGAGCTACCATTCAGTATTAATAACTGGAGAGAAATGCCCATCCCCACTTAAGCATATGCTTGAGTGCTTTGCTGAATCTGGGCCTATACAGCCTTAAAATCAGCATTCCTTCCAGTTGATTAGATATTGTTCTCCCATGCTTTCTAGTAGCAAACCCTTTGGTTTCTTCTAAACATCATTCTATTTCCTGAATTTTTGTTTTATCCATTTTCAGATGGTTTGACAGACTGTGTAGACCCTGATTGTTGTCAGCAAAGCAATTGCTACGCAAGCCCTCTCTGCCAAGGGTCACCTGATCCCCTTGACCTCATTCAGCACAGCCAGCCTCCTTTCTCTCAGCATCCTCCAAGGCTCTTTTATGATAGAATCAAGTTCCTTATTGGCAAGGAGAGCACTCATGTAATCCCTGGAGATGTCTTATTTGACAGCAGGTAAGTTTCATTTTTAATTAAAGTGGTCTGGATAGAGAAAACTGTATTGATAAATTATTTTAATAGAAAAAACATTGATATCAAGATTTTTTTGGAAATCTTTATTGACTTTTTCACATTAATGGTAATCTGAAAATAGTGGAAATGACAACAAATTCTTTGTTTGAGATTCCGGCAGTTTAAGACTTGCTTTCCGACATTACTAGCCGAGACCCCTAGAGTTACTCTATCTAGCGTATAAGACTATTTACTGTAGTACCTTTTTTATAAGGGTGTAACTATCCTGGGAGGTAAACTGCTCTGCTGTGTGTTTCCATGAGAAACAATTTAGGGTGCAGTTCTTGCCGGAATATTGGAGATATACTGGCGAGCAGTGTTGAAGTCATATGAGCTCTCTTGAGTCAGCTTCATGCCCCAGTGGAGCTGTGACATAACACAGGAACATGTTTTCTTTATTTATGTGCTGAATGCCCCTTAGTCTAATTAGCAGCCACAGTCAGAAAATAGTAGTAGTAGAACATGCAGTTTGCCATTTTGCTCTGCAGGTTACCCTTTAATTGAAATATAACTGGTGTGTGATCTCAGAAATCAGAGTCATTTCTGTGTACTTGTGGGGTTATGCTGTTCTTTAAAGGAGAGGAAAGTGTGAATCAGGAAGGGCAGACACTTGCTCAAAGGACACAATTACCTATACTTTCCTCTTGAAAAAAGTCAGTAAATTTGAAATATAGAGTCACATATGTTTTTTTTATACTGCAGTTCATCCTGGGAAGCAGTGATTTATATACTGACAAAAGCATCCACAAATCATCCCTATCATCTAACCACTACTCCTAGGCCTGCACATTAGATAATCCAAGTTGCATTAATAAACACACCAGTATTTTTTATTTTCACAAATGCAATAAATAGCACTTATGTTGTCGCCTAGATTTCATTCCTCTCTTCTCTTCAAACACATCCACAGAGGGAACAAATTCAGTGTGTTCTCTTTGACTTATTAATTTTTTACTAATGTAAATATGTAAAGAATCTTTATTGATCTAACATACCTAAACATGTAATCGCTATTAATAACGTAACAGGATGTTATAAATATGTAGAACAATAGTATTTGAAACTGAACAAAACCAATAACTGGCAGCACCAAGCCTTAAAGTGTAAATCACTAATGGAACAATGCAGTTAGCTTATTATTTTATCTGAGTACATAAGATGCACCGAATACAACATCTTTGGCTGCATGTATATTTAATACAGCATATTGCTGTTTAAAAGAAAAATCATAAATAATAATAATAACTAGCTCTTACATGTTACTCTTTTATCACCAGGGCTCAAAACTTCCCTCAACAACATAAACCAGACACCTACCCATTTAATATCACCTGGAAGGCGAGCAGTCAAGTAGCCTATATAGCGTCCTGTGACATTGCAACTACTATCGGGAGGATTTCACATAATCCTTTCAATATGTTTTTATAGATAAAAGGAACTGATCTTTTGAGGCTATTGTTGATAGGATTTGACTTGGTCTTAAAAGCCTTTTTTGAGTATTTCAGTTTTTGCCTTACTGCCCAAAGTGCCTTTGGAGTATGGAGAATAAAGATGTTTGACATGTTTAGTTGGTCTGTCCTTGGAAGCTGATGGAATTCGAAAGCTTGCAGAGGTCTCTGAAGGACAGAATTGGTCCTCTGACAGACCACTGTATCGCTTGGGTTGGCTTTTTTAAATCTTTTGTCCTCTACTATCACGATAATGGCCCCTCGCATCTTCTATCCCAGATTCATCCTCAAAAGTCACCATGGTTTATGATAATCTGCAATAGTTGAAGCAGAAGGGAAGCTAGCTAGAGCACTTATGGCAGAAGTGTTGAGATGAAGGTGATCAATTTGACGTAAAGATTTTTTAAAATTCGTATGCCGTGAAGAGCTTCCACTGTAGCATCTGTAAAATCTCACCCAATAGATGTGTTTTGGGTAGTGGATAACTTGGTCATGGCTGGCTCAGCTCAGAGGCTGATATAAGTTCCTACTGTTGTGAAGAAATTACTAGATATCAGAGGATAGTGTTGGGCAATAGTGCTCTCATGTGGGATTCTGCAGAGTTCTATCTTGCCACCATGCATATTTAGTATGCACATGACCAGTGTTCCCTCTAATTTTTCCCACACATGTGTGGAATGAATTTTATTATGTGCGCCAATATAGAAGTGGTGGGGGTGGGGCGGTGGCTGGGTTGGGGCCAGGGGAGGAGTGCCTCTCCCCTGGCCGCAGTAGGTCTGAGGCTGCGCTGGGGCTGGAGGGGAGAGGCATCTTTCCTCGCTGCAGCCTGAGTGCCTGCGCAGTGCTTAATAAGCTGCTGTGTGGCCACATGGCCGCACAGCTTAGAGGGAACTTAGCACAACACCAGATCAATGTTTTCATCTCTTCTGACTCAGATAGTGCAATTTGATGCCTTACCCAGCCACTGGTTGGGACTGGGGTATGGATGAGAGCTGACTCAGTCTCAATCCAGATAAAACAAAAGTGATGATGGCAGGCTGGGGAAAGCAACCAGAAAATATTGTCAAAATTATATCTCCCCTTCAGACTGAAGTTGGTTGCCTGCTCTTTTTTATTCATGTAGGCAACTTTGGAGTCTTCTTAAATACCCAGTTAGTATTATATTATCATGTTTCAGAAAGAGTTAGGACATCTTTTTTTTTTCCCCATTTGCATCCAACTGGGAGATTAGGTCTTTCCTTTGGGGTGTGGTTCTCACCACTGTTTCATGCCTTTATCATTTCAAGATTAGGCAGCTGCAGTGCGCTCAATTTGGGGTTAAGGGCTTGTCTGCACGGTGGGGTTATGTATTCTATGGGGTGTGATTTTTAAAGCGCACTAATGTGTTGTGCATTAATTACTTCATGCAGACCCTGCTGGTGTGCACTAAAGGTTTAGTAGTGCACTTAAAAGTAGTAGTTTCAAAGAGAAATATGTTAAAATGCATTGGCAGGGTCTACGTGCACCAGTTAATGCATAACACAGTAGCATGCTTTAGAAATCTCCTTCCACTAACCCCCATACAGCACATCACCCCACAATATAGACAACCTCTAAGTCAGAAATCCATTCAGAATCTGAAGCTTGTGTATAGTGTAGGAGCCGGTAGAGCACCTTGCCGTATGTTACACCAAGGCTTTGAATTTTGTATTGGCTGCCTTTAAATTTGAACATGTAGCTGCTACATATAAAAAGGTGGGTCAAATTAATTCCTGGTCAATGGAATTGCATCTGCTTATACCAGAAATCGATTTGGCCTGTGATATTTAAAGAGTGTAGCATATAACAATATTTTGTCAACCTCTACCCACAGGAGTTTAAAAAATGCATACTGCTGGCAAGCTACTTGACTCATTGCAAATTGCATACAAAAGAAGGTCCAATGCTTGGTCTTGAATTAATTACCCTCCAAAGGCTGCTTACAGTGACATTGTCAGCAGAAGGAAATTAATGTACCTTAGTAGCCCCTAGCTTAATTTCTGTGATTGAAGATTTTAATCAGAAATATAATACAATCAATTACATATTTTGGTAATGTGACAATTGTGAATTCACTCAAGTTTTCCTGACAGAGTTCCACATCTGAGGTTAATGTCACAGCCTGAGGTGCTCAGTGGATATTGGAAGTTTAACACGGAAAACAAAAGACAAAATAACAAATAAGGGAGTGTGGAGTTAGGCAAAATGATGATGGAATGGTAGAAATGTTTGTGAAAAATAGTCAAAGAATGCGGCTGGAATAATAAATACAGAAAGACCTAGAAATTTTAAATTACAGATGTCAAATAAACTGCTTGATGGCCAAATGAGATAATCAGTTAAAAGTGGACTGACCCATGAAGCGTTTACAAAGAAAGTCTACTTCTCGAAGATTACCTGCAACCCACGGATTCTGTGCCTCCTCTCAAAAAAAGCAACTACTCCCTCTGGAGTTGGAGATTGACCACAGACTGCCAGAGGCCTAGAAACATTTTAAATGTATTTGAAAAAAACAAAGGCTGCAGCTTATCTGAAACATTTTTCTCCCTCGGTGCATGATGCAAAACAATGGACAGATTCTCCAGCTCATCTCAAATAAGTTGCTGCACTTACCTTATAGTTAAAGTAACTTTGACACACTATTTTTAAAGACTTAGTTCAAGATAATGTCATTTTTGCAAATAAACAGTGGTATTAGAAAGAAAAGCCTTACACAATTGGTTGTTATCTAACATAAGGAATAAAAAAAAGTAGCAGAGGCATGTCTACAATAAAGTTAGACAGTGAGAATAGACGAAGAAGAAGCAGCACACTCGGAGAGAATGAGGGGGTAAGACTGCTCTGTTACTAATGGGGGAAGTAGTCAGAAGTAACCGGATCTCAGTCCAGGAGAAGGAGAGTGAATCAGGTGAATGGAAAGTGACATCACTTCAAGAAAGAGTCCCTGAAAGCTCTAACAAAGTAGAGGATAGGTGAGGGCCACTGCAAGTAGCAAGACCTCTGGGGATCCAAGAACAAGTATTCCCTGCAAGCTTTGTGAGATGACCAGGCATTTTGAAAGGGAAGAGAATCTGCCTGCTAAGTAGTTTTTCTCCAGAGATCTCAAGTGTCAGTCAAAAGTAGTGTAAATGAAAATGCTTTAATACAGCATTCTGTGCTAAATGCAGAAATTAAAATTGATTTTGGACAGTTGCTGTTGGTTGAAGATTTACTGTAGGTCTTGATAATCCAAGAGACAGCTGAAGACTGTTATAGTCAGAAATGGATGCTAGAAAGACAGTAAATAATGAGGACAAATGTAGCAGTATACTGAAAAGCTTAGAACATTTAAAGTCTAATAGATTACAAAGACAGTTCAATACAGATAAATGTAGAATAATGAGTTTTATGAGTCTTTATCACATACTGTAAATGTGTGTGGGTTATGAAATATGAGGAATAAAAAAAGTAAGAGCTGAAAGATAAGTATGAACATTATTTATGAATAATGAGGAGCAAAATGAATGAGCAGAGGAAAAGGAAGACAATATATGGAATAATGAAGACTTTGATGAGTTGTTATCACACAAATCTGTGTGCTCCATAAAATATCAGAGGAGTAGAGTCCAAAGACAAGTCTGCAGATTGAAAAACAGAATGAACAAACAAACCGAGGAATACTAGAATAATGCACAGAATAATGATGACTCTTATGAGACTTTCTCTCTCAAGTCAACATGCTTAGTAAATAAAAGGATTGGAAAGGGAAAAGACAAGTCTATAGATGCCATAAAATATGAGAAAACAATAGAAACTAGTGGTTGCTGTTCTAACAAAACAAAAATAATTGAGACTGGCATAGTCTGATTAAATACACAGAAGGTCCGATTGTGATCTTTTATACCAGTGTAACAATTGACTTTAATGGAGCTATTCATGACTTTTGCCAGTGTGTGATCACAATTAATATATAAAACAAAAGAAGGCTGAAGTAAAATTCGGTTATGTATATTGAAAGAAAAACAAATTAATGGCAGAACATCTCTCTCTAACTGTGGATATTGTCAACAACTTTCAAATCATTCTACACACTGACAGAGTGGAACCCATATTGGCTACTGTGGAGAGACACCCATGAAAGGGTTAATTTGTAAAGCCACAGTCTCTCAGATAACAGCTTTATGCCCTCAGGGTGTGGTCATCCCTGTGACCTCCTTCAGCGTGGGAGACCCGCATTCAAATCTCTTCTCCACATGAGACAGAAGGGGAGATTGAATCAGGGTCTATAGCACCCTCAAAGAGAACCCTAACTACTTTGCTTTTCTCAAAATGCCTGAAATCAAAACAAAAGATGTCAGATCAAAATGCAACATTTAATTACAATCCAACTCAAAAAATTTTGATTAGCCAAAATAATCAAAAAATTCTGCTTTCGGTTCGACCCAAAACCTTTTTTCTTTTTTTCTCCCAGCAAAAAATCCATTATTTGCCCAGCTCTACTCCACTCTATATCGGGAATCTAAACTGAAGTGTGGCGTTTACAAGAGTGTATGTTATCCTCACCTCTGACCCTCGCTCCTACCCCAAAAAGTGATTCTGTGAAAATGGCTTTCTGGGATTCCATATCAGCTGTGTCTTTATATTAGTCCAGTTTACAGATAAAGGGATTTTTTTCCCAAAACTGCCTGTTCTGTACTGGAATCTGAGAGTCACGTTATATTCTTTCTTGTTACCAGCATCATTAGTAGTAAAGATGAGGGAAGGCCAATAGCAATAGCTGCATGCTATCAGCTAATCCTGTGCAACTCCATGCAATGGCTAGTCAAGTTGATGCTGAAAAGTTACATATTCTAATGATATACTAGGAATTCATGGGGAAGTATGTAAGTTTGTTCTGTACAGCAGTGCTATTTCAAATATCTGGATTGTCATGCTATAGTCTATCCACATTTCTATTATAAATCTATAGTCACAACTTCTTAGCTGTTCAGTCTTTAACTTGCACTGAAGTGTTGCACAGTGTATGAAGTCAACACTTTTTCATGTCCTCCACACCGGCTTTATTGCATGTTAAATTCTACTTTTCTTATTGCAGACGTGCCTGTGTAATTCGAGGCCAGGTGGTAGCATTCGATGGAACAGCTTTGGTAGGAGTGAATGTCAGTTTCCTACACCGCAGTGATTACGGATACACCATCAGCCGACAGGATGGAAGGTGGGACATTTTCATCCCTGGCCTCTCATTAATTGAGATCCTTAGTCTAAGGACCACATGCCACCTTGCATCCCTGCACAAAATTTCCATTGACATCACTTTTTACTTTGTAGATGGAGGGCAGCACCTGGTCCTCCGTTCAGGCAGCACAAGTGATTAGAGTTCTCTGTGATAGGGAGTCCAGTTGAAGGAAAGGAAGCATGAAGATAGTGAAATTCCATGAGCCCTAAATAATAACAAGAATATTGTGGCAACATTCAAACACATAAGAAAATAAAAATGGCCGCACGAGTGGACCAATGGTCCATCTAGCCCAATATCCTGTCTCTGATAGTGGCCAATGCTTGATGCTTCAGAGGGAATGAACAGAACAGGGCAATTTGAGTGATCTATCCCCATTCCTCCAGTCCCAACTTCTGGCAGTGAGAGCTTAGGTGAACCTGGAGCATGGGGTTCCATCCCTGACCATCTTGGCTGATAGCCATTGATAGACCTATTCTCCATAAACTTAGCTAATTCTTGTTTGAACCCAGTTCTACTTTTGGCCTTCACAGCATCCCAAAACAATAAATTCCACAGGTTGACTTCATTGCGTGAAAAAGTACTTCCTCGTGTTTGTTTTAAACCTTTTGCTTATTAATTTAATCGGATGATCCCTAATTCTTGTGTTGTATGAAGAGTTAAATAACACTTCTCTACTCACTTGCTCCATACTATTCACAATTTTATAGACCTCTAACATATCTCCCCTTAGTCATCTCTTTTCTAAGATGAACAGTCCCAGTCTTTTTAATCTGTCCTCATATGGAAACTATTCCATACTCCAATCATTTTTGTTGCCCTTCTCTGCATCTTTTCTGAGATGGGGCAACTAGTACTGTACATGGTATTCAAAGTGTGGGTAGACCATGGATTTATATACTGGCATTATGATATTTCAATCCTATTATTTATCCATTTCCTAGTAGTTCCTAACATTAGTTTTTTTGACTGTTGCTGCACACTGGGCAGAGGTTTTCAGCTAACTCTCCCCAGTGACTCCAAGGTATCTTTCTTGAGTGGTAACTGCTAATTTAGCCCCCATCATTTTGTATGTATAGTTAAGATTATTTTTCCAGTGTGCATTATTTTGCATTCATCAGCATTGAATTTCATCTGCCAGTTTGTCACCCACCCTCCAAATTTAGTGAGATTTCTTTGTAACTCTGCAGTCAGCTTTGGACTTAACTATCTTGAGTAATTTTGTATCGTATGCAAATTTTACCACCTAACTGTTCACCCCCTTTTCTTGATCAGATCCAGAACACATGGGATCAGTATTACTGTTAGATTTCAAGACTTCTATATTTTGAAGCTATGCATATTGCCAAGCTCCTTGACATCTCTGACCTGGGGGTTTGCATAGTTGAAATTTCCACAGGATCCCCCTAGTTTCCCCTTCTTCACTCCTATCTTACAGTGAGGAGGTCAGAAAATGGCTTCTTCTGAAGCCTGTAAAGATCACTCCTTTAGCTGACTGATGGTAGTAGAGCAACACAAGTTTAAAATGGGGATCTTCCCCAAGGCTAGAGAATGGCAAAACAGCTACTCTGCAGCCATTATTACAACATTATGGCTCCAATAGTATCTGCTTGTCCCTGTGCCCCACTTGTGCAGGTTAAACTCCTCCTGTCCGCCTCATGTCTTCCACATGGTGTACAGAGAACCCCTGTAGAATGAGCTGAGTTCACTATTACACAAGAGATGTGTTTCCTGTATCCTGCCCTAAGGCTAAAGCTACTTCCATTGCATTTAGGGACTTACACTTGCAGGTGTGGAGCCATGATTTACCCCAGAATTTTTGGCTAATTCAGGAGTTTGGCCATTTGAAGACTTTATGGCCATTGACCACATTGTAAAACTTATCTTCTAAAAGGGTAATGAAGTAACCCTTTGCTGTTTCCAAGATTTGTATGTAGCATAGCTTATTTACAATAGTGAAGAGAGTAATTTTATTTACCTTATTTTCTTGATTTTAAAATTGCAGTTTTGTAAGTTACTAATTATCATTTCTTATTTACACTACCCGTGACAGTATTAAAATATGTTACCTATATTTTACTTTGAGAGTAATCTGTGTCATTTGGGATATGTGATGAAATATGCATAATTAAGTCTGACTTCTTATCACAGTTTGTTACCATCAAAGGCTTCCATAATATATGCATTCAATAATACAGTGAGTGAAATATCTATTTACATTACTTTATATTACCTGGCTGTAGATGTCAGAATCTTGGAAAACTGAGACACTATGTACCTTGCTTTCTGTCTCACACTATCTTAGGGTGCAAATCTGCACAGGGTTATTCACAGTTGCTCCTTGAGTATATCCTGTAGTAGCCTGCCATTGCACCACATCCAGGAGCTGATTCCGTTCTCACTGAAATTAATGGGAAGCTTTCCCAAAATGTCCACACATTGAACAGTAGGGCTGTAACCCCATATGGTTCTTGAGCATACTCCAACTCTTCATCTTACTACTCACAGAACAGGAAAAATGGGCATATAGGAGAATGAGGCAATTGTGAGACCCCAAGTCAGCTACTTCACATGCTGGGCACACACACAATCTGAGTAGCAGTCATTTTGCGGTTTAGGAGTTTCTTCACATACAGGCCAGGAGTAATTGGTTCCACACAGTTGTTAACTGTGAGTGCTTTTAGTAGGTAAACACCAGTGGAAGGGTGGACAAATTGCAGTGAAATATCTCACCTTGCATGTGATGAATGCTTGGAGTAGGCATAGAGCGAAAGCACCACCTGGCCTCACAGTTGGAATTAGAAAGATAATATTGGAGTTGTTTCACATATCAAATTAATAGTTATAGTGGGGTTCCATGTGGGATTTTTGGTAGTCATTTGTTGCAAGCTGTGTTAATGTTGTAAAGGAAACAGTATAAGACAATGTGTTTTGTTTTGTCTCTTCAGTTTTGACCTTGTGGCTATTGGAGGTATCTCTGTCACCCTGGTCTTTGACAGATCTCCTTTCATTTCTGAGAAAAGGACACTTTGGTTGCCTTGGAATAGGTTTATTGTAGTAGAAAAAGTTGTCATGCAAAGAACAGAGTTGGACCCACCATCTTGTGACATCACTAGCTTTATCAGCCCAAATCCAATTGTACTCCCTTCACCTCTGACAACATTTGGAGGATCCTGTCCAGAGAGGGGAACGGTCATTCCAGAGCTCCAGGTAAAAAAGATATTTTCAAATGAACAGAATGTGCTATTGTAGAAAAAAATGCTAAAAAACAGTAAGAATTTTTCCCTATTTATACCCTTTATTAATGAAACCTACATTGTTATTTGATATTAAGTATACATTTCTAGCATAAAAACATGTATTTTATTACAATATGTAAATTATGTTGATTTTAATTACCATCCACCACATTTTCAAAAGGATCTGAACATGGCTATTAAATATACACTCACAATTTTTCACATCCACGTATTGGTATGCAAAGATTTTAGTCCAAGCATTAGCTTATGCAAAAAATAAAATTTGGGTGCACAAATAACATAGTAAATTAGATTCCTGATCTGCCTGCATAAACCTGATTGCACATGCAAATCAGAGATTTTATGTATAAAACTGTTAGATATGAAATGTTTCAGGTCCAGTTTTAGTAGTGGAAGTAGTAATACTTAACATTTAACACATATGGTAATATTCCAGCCAGATTGAAGTCAATGAGAGTTTTGCCATTGATTTCAGTGGAGCCAGGATTTCAACCTAGTATTTAGAAAGCTTCATACAGGTTTGGAAAAAATCTAGATCCCACTGAAGTGAATGATCATTTTATAAGTTTAATGGTACATGTTCAGACCCAGAAGTTCAGAGACACAGGATAGGGTTAGGTTTCAGAGTCGTAGCCGTGTTAGTCTGTATCAGGAAAACAACGAGGAGTCCTTGTGGCACCTTAGAGACTAACACATTTATTTGGGCATAAGCTTTTGTGGGCTAGAACCCACTTCATCAGATGCATGGATTGTCTTCCCCTCATTCCTGGAAGTCCTGAAAGTGCTGCTGTAAAAAGGACACTGGAATACACTGATTGCTTACTGCTGTGATGATGTTCCCTTCCCAGGGCTGTACTTCTGGGAATGACATCAAAGCAAGGTTATTCAGTGCTTATAGATATTTTGGAGGTTATCTGTGGTTATAAATATTTTCCATCCAACTTTTTCTCTATTACAAAATTGCATTGCTCCCTAAAAAGGACCTCATTAATTTCTTTATTGTATAGAGAACACTTCTAGTTGAATTCTGTCACTTTCTACTATAAGTAACAATAAAACATCATACTATCTCAGCCTTCTAGCGGCAGTGCTGTGGCTGTATAGTTACATTCCTGTCTCCACTGAATAGAATGGGATAAATAATGGGCACAGATTAAAAAGAACTGAGACAAGGTAGTAAAAGAACTATGTCACACCCTTCCACATAAGTATCTGAATTGCTAGATACAGTTGTCACATTTCAGGGTACAACCCAAACCAGTGAGAGGTTGTGTCATCACTTGTCCTGTAACAGTGAGTGCCTTAAAATGCTCTACTGCTGCAGCTTCCTGTCGGGGTGCTCCCAGCCAGCATACAAGCATGCTCTGAGTATCTGTATGATAAGGGGCCTTGGTTCAGCAACTCTGACTCTAACAGCTGGCTTGTTACATCATAGCCACACTCAGGTCTCCACCAGACTTAGTTACTACCAGCCAAGTGACCCCAACATCGCCGCAGTCCTGAATTTCCTCAAAACTGTCTGCCTTGAAATGTCCAGCCCTCTACTGGAACATTTAGGGAAGTAATACGGTCTTGCTCTTTAAAGGGACAAAAAAAACAGCAGTGTGTTGCTTTACCTGGAGTTAACAATCACTTCAATTCAAACACAGTCCTGGGATGGTTTAGATTAAAAGCAAAACAAGTTTATTAACAAAAAGAGAGGTCAAATGTAAGGGATAAAGTCAGAAATAGTTACATGCAAATAAAAGTGAAAAACACTTTATAGTGACTAAAACTTAGCAAAACTACAATCTTGGTCCAAGGTAAGATTCTTTACACTCCTCCTACTAACAAGATGGCTGACCACTGTCGTGGTCAGGATCTCCCACAAAGTACAAACCTCTTGGTTTCTTTGTGATCTTAGGTGGAAGATCACTTGGGGTGGAGGCATCAGCCTTTCCTTTGTCTGGAAAAACCTGTTTACCCACTCTCCAGATTTGTCTAATTCAAATATATTTTAGTCCTATATTTCCTTTCAATTTCTATAGTCTTTTGGGTGTTTACCGTACGTATAGCACACAAGAATATTAATGATCAGTGTGTTGTTGGTTTTCCAATGATACCTTACACCAGTGTTTCCCGAACTTGGGATCCTGCTTGTTCAGGGAAAGCCCCTCGCGGGCTGGGCCGGTTTGTTTACCTGCCCCGTCTGCAGGTCCGGCTGATCGCGGCTCCCACTGGCCGCAGTTTGCTGCTCCAGGCCAATGGGAGCTGCGGGAAGCAGCGGCCAGTACATCCCTCGGCCCGCGCGGCTTCCAGCAGCCCCCAAATGGCCTGGAGTGGCGAACCGCAGCCAGTGGGAGCCGCGATCTGCCAGTCCTGCGGACGGGGCAGGTAAACAAACCGGCCCGGCCCGCCAAGGGCTTTCCCTACACAAGCGGCGTCCCAAGTTTGGGAAACACTGCCTTACACAATGCCTATTAGATAGAGATTATGACAAAAGTGAATTGGGGTACACTGAACTGGTCAGACCAGCAGAAACTCAGTACCTGATACCAGTGAGCCCCTTGCACCCGGTCATTGAGATGCTCTTACGGTCACAACGGTATATTCACTGAGTAACTGCTCCTAATCCCCTGGTTTGGGATAGTCGAGAGTGAAATACTAAAATGTGCTTTACATGAATATCTACTACTATTCTCCTGTTTCAGAGGAAGGAAAGTTTAGAACTTACTGATGTCAGATGCATGACAGAGGAGGCAGCTGGGATGTCAGCAGGAAGGACAGGGAATAATCAAGGGATCAGGAATTCCCTGCCAACAGCACATTTCATATGTTGAAATGACAAGTGCTGGCAGGCCTCCAATGGTACTGCAGTATTTCTGTGACAGTGTTATTATAGCTATAAGGTAATAGAAGGTGTTTGAAACTGAAATGATTTGTTATTAAGGAAACAAAAAGTGAGCTGGAAGAACCAGGAAAAGTAAACAAAGCACCATTTGTATTTTTCCAGATTGTGTTGGTTTAACATTGTGACAGACTGGCTCGTTAGTAATGATATGAGACATGCTAACATCACAGCCTGCAGCATTTAAACTTACTAAACAGAATCCAATTGTGAGTGGACCTTGCATGAGTGTGTCAGGGAGCGTGCAAGGCGTTTCCCTCATTCCATTGCATGCCCTGCACCAGGGACTGCCACAACAGCATCTCCTCCATTCAAGGAAGCACAAGGGCTAATCCCTCCTAGTAGCCTCCAGCGCCCACATCTCTCAGAAGGCCAAAGCCATGACACCTTCCGCCTCCTACCAGCCTGTAGTCTTTGCTGTCCCTCTGCACACTAAGTAGCTCTGGAAAGGATTGTGTTGCTCAAGAAGGCATGGCTCCTTCCTTAGGTCCCTCTAAGATGGGGCAGCCAACCCAGGGTAGTGCCTTAAACACACAATATGGCCCAAGGTGAGTTTAAAATATGTACTTATTTAATTATATGTATGTCCACAAATTAATTAACCAAATGAGATATCCTCTCCAAAGTCAACCTGCAACTCTAGGACAACTGAGTTTAGTGGATTTAGACAAGATTAGTACTCAAGGGAATAATTGTCATCACAAATTGGACCCAAAAACTTAAGGCAAAAGTAATATTGTGTGCAAACGTTAGAGACAAAAGAAGAATTAGAAAAGAGATGGGGCCTCCTTAACAAAGTATAGACAAATTAGCTGTTTTCCACCTCTGTGATCTTTCAGACACTGCACAGCTTTGGATGATGCTGAAGATTTTGCATTATTCCTGACCACAATATGCCTGGCAGAGGCAGGGCACGGGTCAAGGAAGTCGGTTTTCGGTGGTGCCTAGGTTTCTTAGAAAACATCATGATTTGAAATACAAAACTTTGCCCTTTTCCTAAGCATGAATATCATTAATAACAGTGTGTACAACTGTTGGGTTCTTCTAGGTGGTCCAGGAGGAAATCCCAATTCCTTCTAGCTTTGTGAAGCTCAGTTACCTCAGCAGTCGAACCCCTGGATATAAAACCTTGCTCCGCATTATTTTGACACATGCAGCCATCCCTCCCGGAATGACAAAAGTACATCTTACAGTTGCTGTTGAAGGACGGCTAGTTCAGAAGTGGTTTCCTGCTGCTACAAACCTGGTCTACGCTTTTGCCTGGAACAAGACAGACATTTATGGACAGAAGGTGTCTGGTCTGGCAGAGGCAACAGGTATGTTGAGTTACTTCAGTGTAATTAGTAGTTGTAATACATTTGAAGGGAAAATACTATTTATACTTCTGATGATATATAGTTATCTAAATTAATTGCAGCTTTTAGCCAATTGGGATGTGATTATCTAGGAAGCATTTATTTTGTTATTCCTCACATTTCTAAAGCCACATTTTATTTTATTTTTGGCAACTCTAGTTCAAAAGTCTTTCTCCCATCTCATAATGGTTACATACCTGTGGTTACCTGCGTAGCTATCTCTGTGTTTGGAATGTACTTTCTCACTGTGACCTTCGGTGTGTCATTGCCTCTGTCATTTTTTTGGCAGTGACATTTAAAATATCATTTCCATTTAGAATTTACTAAGTGCTAACTTTTAGGTATCTTTGCTTATTATATTTGATATCTGAAACTGTTAACTTCTTGACTTGTTATTTCAAAAGGTGTACATAGAAATCATCCATACTTTTTGGGGTCCTTTTATTTTAGTTTTTTAGATTTTAAAGTTATCCAAGTAGTGGTCTCTGATTTATGACTGAATGCCTATATGTGAAAATACTATAACTGAAGTAAAATACATTTCATTTATCCAAAATATTTTAACATGAATTTTGCTATTTGATCTTGAATGTTTTTTCATTATTTTTAATCAAGGATGGTGCATTGTGTTTAATGACCTGCTATTGCAAACACTTCCTATCCGTGTATTTATTGTTCCAGTAGTGCTTACACTTGTGAGTAGTTCTATTGAATTCAGTGGGATTTCAGTATGTTTTTAAGTCTGTGGAGCTACTCACAATGATAAGTGTTTGCAGGATCAGACTCTAAAATATTAAAATAATTAGGGGCCACATTCTGCCACTTTCAGTGCGTAATATCTTGCTCCATAAGTAGTCTCATTGACATCTGCAAAGGATAATACTATGACTATCCACTCTTTCAAATATGTGTTCAAAAGTGGACAAATGCTATTTTAGGGGAACATTATTCACACTGTACAGCCGATGTAGAAATCTACCATAGTGGAAAGTACTATTCAGTGTGAATAAGAGTGGCAGAATCTGGCCCTAACTGCTTATACAATATAGATTCCTATATCAACTTGTATAACAAAGAACGGAATTAAATGAGTTGAGATTTCTCTTCTGAGTTATAACCTATTTGTTCATTTTTCCATACATACATATAATATAGACAGCAATGATATTATGGAATTTTGTTGTTATAAAATGTAGGATGTCTGAAAATGACATGAAATGGCAGTAAATGTGTTAATACTAATAAATATAGTACAGAACAGTTAAATATGCTAATTCCCTTCCAGATTATTTGAAATCCAATAATCATGAAGTCCACCCTTCTCCAACATATTTCTAGACTTTAAACCAAATAACTTTGTTAGAGATGTCAACAAATGGTACACTGAGTTGCTAAATCCTAAAATGAATTCTAGCAAAGCATTTATCAAAGGAAACAAGAATAAAACCAGTCCATGAGGCACTATGAAATAACACCTATTTATTTATTTATTTATTTGCAGTTCAATGTCTGATTTCATTTAAAGTTGATTTTAATTATGCTTCTTACAAAACAGAAGCAAGAATCTTTGTATTTAAGTGCAGTGTTAACTTGGTTTGTAAGATTCTGATAAAGCCTTATTTAATTTGACAGATTGGAGTAGTCTGGGACCCTCATCTGCATTCATTATGTGAATTTTGTCAAAATAATTCCCTGTGTTGGTGTATTACAATATTTAATAATGCATTCTGCTCAGACTTCATTTTAATTACATTAAATTACAGCAGATTGAAGTCCTATAAGCTCAGGAATATAACCATCTGCCTTTAATATTATAAACCCTATAAACACTTTCATTTTTCTTCAGGATTATTGGCAACAATTACATAATGATTTACTATAGTAGTCTATCCAGAAAAAGTGGTCTCTTAGAAAAAAACAGACTTTCTGAAGGTACTCGCATGCATGGAAGGATCTGGGGTTTGGGGTTTTTTATTTAGAGAAATATATGATGGCATTTCCCTACTCTCCAAGTCTTGCACATTGAGGAAATTTCCTGATCTTACATTTGCAGCAGAAATTATAACAACAGAGTTTCTTCTTAAAATTGAAAGGTTAGAAAAAAATATATAATAATACTCCTCTCTCTGGAAAAACTGGTTCTAAAAGATTCTTTAACAATGGAAATAAAACAGAGTTTAAGCATGTGGCTCATTCTTAGATATATAAAGTTAGCATATAAAAGAGGGTATCCAAATGCTACTAACAGGGAGGGCCAAAGAGAAGAAGACAGTGAAGTTGTGACAAAGCAGATAATGAGGTTTAGGAACATCTGGCAATTCAGGGATTTAATATGTGGGCAGAGAATAGTAGAAGTACTACATTATCACCTTTCAGAGGGGTAGCCGTGTTAGTCTGGATCTGTAAAAGCAGCAAAGAGTCCTGTGGCACCTTATAGACTAACAGACGTATAGGAGCTTGAGCTTTCATTGGTGAATACCCACTTCTTCGGATGCATTATCACCCATGATCCTACCATGTGCTCCATTATGGACATCTAGGCTAGCAGCAGATCTTCAGCTGGTATAAACTGCCATGGCTCCATTCAAGTCAATTAAACTCCCACTGAGTTCAATGGAACTATGGCAGTTTACACCAGTTGAGAATCTGCCCCAGAGGGTGTCTGCAACTCTGGACTATTCCTCAGTGTTGTGGACCGTATGTATGCCTGACCTGGGATGAACTTGTTAAGTGTATGACTGAAGAAAAGATCCTATAACATAGGTGATAAGTCGTCAGCAAAGATGCTTCATACTAAAAACTTCTCCTTTATCTTCCTCCTTACATTAACACCTAGAAAAGCACTTGTTTTGATATTGACACAATGAATAATCCCGGTAAAAGAATGGCAAAGGTAGTTTTGGGAGAAATAATCAGTACTGTGGCCAAATCTGTAGATTCAGAATGAGCAGTTGTATAAAAGCAGTGTTGTTTTAGCTGCTGGGGCCTCTTTAAATTGCAAAGGATGGACAAGGCAGCTGCTGGATACATAGCGTAATGATCTGATGCTGGTAAAGCTTTAAACATACAGTGATGTTAACAGGAGGCAAGGGAATGTGAATTCAGGAGTCAGAAAGTTTAGTAGCAAAAACAGAGACTTCTTTTTGATAAACTAATGAGAAGCTCCAGAGAGTAGTGGGAACAGTCTGTTATGTTTCAATAAAACATTTGCCTTACAAACAAGCCAACATATCACTTGCTCCCTACAATTATGACACAAGACCTCAGGTTTGAAGTGTTGCACCTAAGGTTCACTGGAGTTCTAGAAATGGGGGGTAATTGGTGACAAATCAATGCCAACATTCTTACGTGTATCAAAGGAAAAGGATGAGTTAAGTGGAATTGAATCTCCACTCCCCTCCTTGAACAAAACAGGACTCTTTGAATTTAGCAATAGTTCATTTAGTTAAGGGAGATGCTATTGAGCAAGTTGACAGATTCCCCTGGGGAAAAAAGATACACACATGCAAAAGCCAGTACATAATTGATACTATAAGGATAGACTTAGAAGATACTGTACTTTGAAACTACAGTAACCATGACTATCAAAGGAACTGATAATCTCTTAGACTTTTTTTGTACACTCAAACAATAAAAATAAAAATCAAATGCAGGAGCCAGCATAGGAGCCTCATTACTGTCAGGTAGCTTTAAAAACAGGTATGGAAAAGGTAGATAATAAATGAAGGAAAAACAATCTAACATATCATCATTTGTTTTCAGTGTCAGTAGGATACGAATATGAAACATGCCATGATTTTATTCTGTGGGAGAAAAGGACAGCTATCCTGCAGGGTTTTGAGATGGATGCTTCGAATCTGGGGGGCTGGTCCATAAACAAACATCACGTATTGAATCCACAGAGTGGTAAGTCCTTCAGTTATCAATCAGACATGTTGAAAAGGAATATATTTTCAAGATGATGATGAAGAATTTAGATGTTCAATTTTTCATTGTTAATGTTTTATCCTTTGAGTGTGCAACTTTCTTTATTGAGAACTGCACACTTACCCACCAGGTGAAAATATTTTTGTGTGTGTCTTAGCTATCAGGCATAAATAAAAATCTTGTAAATGTATGTTTTTTTTCATTAAGCTGGATAAGAGAATACTGATATACGATATAGAACTTTATATCTCTAGGTTAAAAGAAGAACTTGTGGCACCTTAGAGACTAACAAATTTATTAGAGCATAAGCTTTCGTGGACTACAGCCCACTTCTTCGGATACTCTGAAACCTATCTCTAGGTTGTTGTTTTGAATCCAGTCTAAGATAGTAGGGATTGAATGTTGCTCCTGTTTGCTGGTCTCTGTGAAAAGAATTGATGGTGTGTTGTCTTCTCAGTGGACAAGTATCTATGTCACAAACTCACCGCTACAACTGGCTTTTATTAGCATAATTATTGGCAGTCTCACCAGTGGAACTAAGGATCAAATATGCATAGAAATTGAGCTAAAAACTGGCCGCCTGGAGGTGGTGCTTCCATTTGGAGTAGACTCATCTTGCCAGGACAGTGTGCAAGCTTGCACTGCTACTCACTCTGTATCCGAGCTGTGGATAAATAAAATACTTTACTCTCCCTAGCAGCGGTCTAGCACCTTTCACGAGCGCGTGCGCACACACAAAAAATGCAAAGAATCTACTCATTTATTTTGCCCTCCTGACTTATTCCCTACATATAAATTACTCAGACTCTGAGACTTTAATCTGTTTTCTCATTACCTGTTATTTTATGGTCCCCCCCAAGCAGCTATAATTAGGAACTACTCTTAGTGGATTTAAATTATCAAATTAATACAGTTATAGTAAGTTACAGTATTGAGAATGAATATGAATTTGCAAATAAATGGACATGTTCTGTTCTTTGGGAGAGAAAAACCTAGGATCAGAGTCTCAGCTGGTGCAAATCAGCTTAGCACTAGCTTCAGTAGAGCTCTGCCAATTTTCCAGCTAAGAATCTATCCACTAAAATCTGTTTCCAACTGCAAACAACTGTAACCCAGATTCATGCACAGATGTAAAGCTGTCAGGATTTCATCAATTCTGATGTCAAATGTACAACTGTAGTGTAAATATTCCAAATACAAAAGGTCAGGCTTAGTTTGTAAATTATCAAGATTTTGATTTGAAATAGTTTGACATTTTAAGCAGTGGTTCTTTCATACCCACCTTACTGGTTTGTATAGATTGACTTTTTTAAATGCCAGCTGTTGACATTTAACACACAGAGAAATCTGACCTCAGTCAGTCCAGCCCCCCAGCTGTGAGCCCGATAGTCCACATCCTAGTGCCAGTTTGCCACTTAAATAGTTTAGTTTCAAAACTGAGTTCTTGGGAATACTTTCTTTTATCGCTCCAGTTTATATGAATGTCTGACCTTAGCACTTACTGTAATGCTACCCCTTCTAATTCACCACACAGCAGTTATGAGACTAAAATATGTATGAGACTTTATACAATACACAATTATGAGTAGACGACATTTGAGGTTAAATTGTAGCTTTTCGGCCACTGCCCAGAGCACAGGGCACATAGGGATGAACTGTACATTGGTCGCTCCCAGAGATACTGTTCATGACATACAGTTTCTGCAAATGCTGGGCTGCATAGTCCCAGCAAGCTTTCTACATCCTTCGAAAGGCTGCAGTCCCTGCTAACCTCTTCTGCCTGTTAGCACTAGCCCCAAGCAATCCTTGTGCTTTGTGACTGCAAGAATTCTGGGGACTAACCCTTGTACCTAGATTTTAAGTGGGGATGGGAGGTTTCTTCTGCCTTCCCTCCCACCTTACACATCTGCACAGAGTTGGCAAGATCTAGGAAATTGTTCTCACCTTTGTCCTTTCCTTACAAAGGCACTGATCCAGCAACTTATGTAAGCACATATTTAACTTTAAGCACAAGCCATGAAGTCAATGGGCCTACTTATATGTGTAAAGTTAGGGCACAGGCTTAAGGACATACCCGAATCAGGGAATAAGGTCTGATCCAAAGCCTATTGAAATCTCAGGAAAGACTTCAGTGCAGTTGATCTTGAGAATGCCCATAAAGCTCCTGCATGTGAACTGTCATAGAAACTGCTTTAGGGTCATACTAGTCAAATATGGGGAATTAATTATTAAATCATAGAATTCATATACCTACCAAAGTAAAGTATAGTCCCACAAATAGATGACAAACTAGATATTTAAGTCCATTAGCCAAAAGCTCCAAAATAAATAATATATCACTTGATCTCAGCCAAAAGGTCAAGAAAAGCTCTTCAGTTTCAGCCATGCAAAACATTGATTTTAAACAAGGGTAAGGTTGTGATTCAAACCTAAAACAGTCACTGTAAAATTCAAGCTGATGCTCTATGTCAACGTGAGAGGAAATGAAAGGCGCAAGTGTGGAGTAGCCTTCTCAGGAATTAATTTCTTGAGATCTTTTTGTATTTAATTAAAATAAAGCATTCACTCTGCAGGGATGTAAGTGTGAACTTTTCACGGGTACTGAATTTACTTTCTCTTTTTGAAATGCTGTCACAATCCAGTTAATCCAAACTACAGGAATAGCATTGGGAACACAATTCAAATGTAGAAAGTTATGGTACTTTACTGCAAATAGTCCTTGTGTAACTTTCATTTCACCTTAACATTAAAAACACTTGATTTGATCAGCTATACACACATATTTCAGCTGATTGGGGCTGCTGTTGACTGAATAATATTGTATGCATATTAGAAGTCTGAGTTGTTGATTCTTCAGTTTGATGTTTTTGTCATGATTTCAAGTGGCAGAAATAACTAAAAAAAAAAAGCCTAACTTCTTTTTGCTTATCAGTGACAGAAAAATAGCATGAATACAATATGGCCTGAACCTATTAGCAATAATGTTTCTTTTGTTGTTGAATGACGTTTGCTGAGGCAATCTGATGAGTGAATGCATCCACTAGCCATCTTTTCTTTTCAGACAGTGCCACACACCTTTTGGGCTTTCATGGCCCTGGGTAGACCCACTGATGGAGAGGAATTTGCAGTCAAGTTCTGCCAGTACAGCCTTCTCCCCCAGCAGACTTTCTGCCATTAGGATCCTTCTACAGGGACTTTAGAGCTGCAACAGTTAGCTTGAGTTACTATATTTGAGTTAATCCACTCGAGCTAGCCTAACTCAAGGGCTTAGCTTGAATGAAAGGGTATGTCTATATTGTGATCAAAAACCCACGGCTTCGAGTCTCAGAGCCCAGGTCAGCTGACTCGGGCTCATGGGACTTAGGCTGCAGGGCTAAAAATAGCAGGCTTGGGATGAAGCCCAGGCTCTGAGACCTTCCCGCATCGTAGTCCCAGAGCCCAGGCTCCAGCCTGAGCCCAAATGTCTACACTGCTATTTTATAGCCCCGAAGGCTAAGCCCCATAACCGTGACTCAGGCCAGCCGCTGGTCTTTTATTGCAGAGTATACCTACGCAAACTGACCACACTGCGAAACAACTCTCAAGCTACACCAGGGGTCGGCAACGTTTGGCACGCGGCTCGCCAGGGTAAGC